GTATACTTGGTATACTTGGTATACTTGGTATACTTGGTATACTTGGTATACTTGGTATACTTGGTATACTTGGTATACTTGGTATACTTGGTATACTTGGTATACGCGCAGATACGGCGAGAGAGTTTGAAATCATGGAATGGTGTATAGTATGTCGTCAGCATCATTTACAATAGCATTTGGCATATGCAGGGTACTATGTTATCATGGACCGGGGGAAGCCTGATGTATGGGGCAAAAGCTCCGGTGGCCATCAGTGGAAGGTTTTCACTACTTCCATAATCAAGTTTATCGAGGACAACGGCGCATTCCGATTAGCAAGTATTGGAACAATCTAAGGGCCCATCATATATTCAGGACGAGCTTGGGAAAGCTTAGGCCACTAGGAGTGAAATGTTGGGCCGAGTGGCCTCGGATGGGGAACCAAAGACGATATTCTCACGCGGCTTGGGAAAATTCCTCTTCATTGTTGCTATATCGTCTTCCGCTAGGAAACAGGACCCTCTTATGAGGGGTCCAGGGAGGAGAGAACAAAGAGATACATTGTATATTGACAGAGAAGTCTGAATACCTTCACACCTTTGACCCCTTTTAGAACTTGTGCCACAATGAGAATTTTACTGTATACCTTGTATAGCCTTTCTGACACCTCTGTTTATAGTTCAACTACACCCAATGTGGGGACGCACGTATGCTGGTTTTCCTAGGTTGACTCTCACGGTAATTATCAATCATCGAGAGCAACAAGTATGCCTAGTTTTCATCACGAGAAGTCCTATCCTAGACCTTGAGAATAGAAGTAGAAATTAACTAAATGATCCATACGCAGCTAAGAGAAACCACCGTACTTGTCTCTGTCTATGCGTAGAAAATAGATGGGTGTAGTACCATAGATTCATTGGAGCAGTATAGAGAGGAGCGCAAACTAATGAGTTGAGGTATAACAACAACCTGTTTTGGGGACATTGGGATGGATATGTTGGGAATCGGAGCAGATACTACTTGAAATCGTGTGCCACACCGCTGAGGTTATTGCATATACCCCCCAAGTAATAGGGTTTTCGAGGCCACCCAGAATACCATACTTCAAAACTAGCTACCTTTGTGCTCTATCATGAAAGCTTATATGAAAGGATATATTGTCCCAGGCCGCAATATAATGCCTTGTAGAGTTATTTTTCCGTTCTCTACTTTCTTTTTTCTTCCTCTGTTGTTCATCACCACATTGCCATTGTTTAAAACACCTATATCAAGCTATCAAGCATCACAACCTGGTAAGAAAATTTCCGTGCCTTGCAACTCGTATATAATGCCCTCCTCTGCTCATTTACCTGTATTTCACTATTATATTGAGATCTATGCTGACATCATGTCGGGATTCCAGCAACTCGAAAGATCGACCAAGAAACCTCGAAGATCTCACCCAAGACGTAGAAAGATGGCTAATTTCCGTAATCTTCGGCGATTTCTGGACACGCAAATTCAACACAAGATTAATCAAGTCCATTTACGACAACATATTCTCCATTTTCATATTACCCAATTCATGAGCGGAGACTATTACTCAAGAAAGCATTTCAACCTCATTCGAAAGTACTATGAACAAGCCTTGAATCTGTCAACGGTGGAAACTAGGGCGTACTCGAAGGTCATAGACATAGATGAATTGACAGGATTCTCGACATGTACCGTCTCAGGACTTGAAGACTCAGATGACGACCTCGAGGACATTGAAGAAGAAGAGCAAGAAGATCAGAACTTGTATACCTATGCTTCAACCCCTGGCGACGGCGAATCCTCGCAACCACGACCAACTACCCCTACAGGGGAGCTATCACAACAAGTTTGGTCGGCAAGCTCAGACGAATCACTGTGCCTGGACTTCGATCCAGAGAGCATTGACGTGAAGATTATGGAATGCATGGGGTTCGAAGACAAACAGCAACTCGAAGACTATCTCAATCCACCCACCTTAAGTTCACTGAATCAAAACGCACTACAAGACGCAGGAGAGGCGGATATTTACGACTCTAGTGGGTTTTACATCGAAGAAAACGACTATACTTCGTCCTTTCCCCTATACGACGACGACGGCGACACGGTGATGAAGGATGACAACCAAGATAGCGAGGAGTTCAACTCTCTATCAATACCAACTGCCCAGGCAGCGCCCAATACCACAATCCCAGCTTCTATTGACTCAATCTCATCGTGGGTTCCACCAACAATGCTGGAATACAACTTCTCAGGAGCCTCGACCTCGTCTCAGAACAACATGGTGCCAACCCTAGACAGTGGTATCCACCCATCCGCCCTTCAATGGGGGGAACCAGCGCCTGCCTCACGTCCTAGCCCCTTCGCACCAAGGCCTATTTCAGCACCATTGCAAGCACTCTTTCTCCGAGTCGGCGTCAACCCCGCAACACGCCGCACCGAAAAAAAGGTCACCCTCTCAGATAATCAACTAGCCGAGGCCCGCCAACGCTGGGAAGAGCAAGTAGTCCAACAATTCACTACACTTGAGGAGGATACAGAGGACGAGAAGAATTACCTCGATACCTGGGACTTTGAAAACAGGCAGTTCCAGTGGCAGACAGAAGGCCTATTTCTCTGCAGACTGATGGAGATCAAGGAGCAAGTGACATTCAGGGAGGCGAAAAGCGCATTCCAAGTCGCGATATTGAAGAAACCCTCAAAGCCCCATTGGACGCATCCCAAGGGGACGCGGCTCCCGCCCAGCTCGCTACGCAACGAGATCAAGTGGGAATCCACTCCGGAAAACGGCAATGACACGAAGTCCGACAAACGAGAAGATCAGTGAGTGGCAGGAAGTATATAAAGATGGGAGTTCAAGGGCTACTAGCTGGGCTATAGCCCGCGGCGGGGCATCGTGCGGCGGAAAAGGGGGAGAGACTGGACCTGGCGACCTAAAAAGGGGTGAAAACCCACGTGGTTTCATACCATACTCTTTATCGGGAAAGCATGTATTCAAAGGTGGAGGCGCGCGAGTTGAGAAGGCAGTTTGCAATTTACTTTGGATATTAGACGTAAGGCACTTGGAACTTGGAGCGCGGTTCATCATTTGAGAACCGCGGGTGTGTGGTGGGACTCCGCTATCCAATTGCTTTATGCTTGCATATCACGGGATGGAAATATGGTCATGCCAGCGGTGTCAGTCGTGGATTTCAAGTTGTCACATCAGGAGGGAAACACCATCTGCATGTATCTGAGATCATGTGATGGGATGTGGTTGGTTTGTTATTAAGATTACTTAAATGGTGGTTTTGGTTAGAAATATACGCCTACTAATATCCCTTTCTTTCAACGTTTTCGCTCGCTCCCCCTTTCTTTTGTCATGTGAATGCTCTCCTTCTCCAAAGACCCTAAGTAGTAGTTCCTTGTCTGACACAAGACACACCCCATCTATAGCTGGGTAACGGCCCAGCTCTTGTCGGGAGTCACGGCCTTGCCGCCAGCGAGCTCGGCATCGGTGTACGCGGGCCAAGCAATCTGGCCGTTGGCGTTGTTGTGGACGGCAAGCGTGGTGAAGCCGGGGCCGAACTGGCCGCTCCAGCCGGCAGTGACGCTGAAGGAGCCGCATGTCTTCATGGCGGTCAGGTCGCTGTGGCTGGCGGGCTTGCCAGTGATGACGAAGCTGCATGGCGTGGCGGCCGCCGAGCCGGTCTTGATCCCAAAGGACCAAGTGCAGCTTGTGTCCGCGGTGTTGCAGACACGCTTCATGCTGGTGATGGTCCAGTTGGGGATTGCAGCCGGGGCAGCGAAGACGCTGCTAGCCGAGAGAAGAGCGAGGGCGGCGGTGGTGAACTGCATTTTGATAGACAGGTGGTGATGTATGATTGGAAGGATTAGATGGTTGAGTAGAGTATCACTTTGGAGGACTTGTCGTGATAATGGAAATAATGCAAGTAGGCAAGCTTTGTGATTAATGCTGAAGATCTGAGTGATGTTGAGATAAATTCCTGAACAATGGCTCGAGATCCCACGGTTTATATACACTTTTATTCATCACCGCCTCTTACCAACGATCACCCTGGTGAGTGATCGTAAATCATAGCCGAGAATTTCACCCAGCTCGCCTAGTGTACTTAGGCGAGCCCCATGTGGTACTATTCAGAGGTCTTAGTCGTAGTCTCTGCTTACCTCGTGATGTCTAATTAGTACGATGGCGATACAGACATACGAGCTCTTTGACTCCATGTCTCGTGCTGACATGCGTTGGTGGAGACATGGGCTAGCCTAAGTCGGTACATAAGTCAACTGGTGTAAGTCTTCAGCTCGTATTCCCAGGGTGTCAATGACAACAGCGGTGCCAAGACCATTCAACACGATGGAGAAACCTTTTTGTCTAATTAGATGTATCAATTGCCACAGCTGGGACAGGGAGATTCGATCGTACCCGGGGTCATCATAGCATGACTACTCTTATTCTGACGGGAACGTTGCACTGTTACAACCCTCAACAACAGTGCGATTGGTGCGATTTCGATCGGTTAACTAACCATACTACGTTGAGGAGATCGATGGATTCAATGGTCACATTAGCCGCAGTGGTCTTTCAGCTAAACACAGCAACTGGGCCCATCTGGCCTGGCTCCAATTAGATCGCTTCATATTGCCGCGGCTTATTCCCCGCGCTCTAGAACGGACGATGAGCCATTCCGTCCGGGGATCGTCTGAGCATGATGTAATGTATATTGTTGCCAGAATGATCCCATGATGCCTCGACCACTCTCGATGGCTCTAAAGAGTTTCATCACAGCTGTGCCTGTTGTCATAATGATTCCTATCGCACTGTCCGTCGGCCGGGAGTCTTTGGTAGGGTGGATTGCACGAAGTGTCTTGAGCGCTGACAGTCGACTTGATTGGGCCTTTCATGCATCGTGACTAATTTTATTGTTAATCCTAGGAGGCATGGAGGATATCTAGGTAACACGAGAATAAACGGATTCCATCTTGGCAAGTTAGGTAATCCAAATCAATGTCTCTCTGAGCTAGCCTTTCATCATACGCTTGCGATCCCAGAGCCAGAAAGCAAGCAGAGTCATGAAGGAGACCACTTCCCACTCTGGTCCAAACGAAGTAAGGAATTTAGCAGCCATGCAGCGTGGGAATACATGGTGCGATCTACCAGCTAAGGCGACGACCTCCATGCGGTCGCTCGCCCTCGGCAAATTGGGAGATGAAGAAGAAGCGTGTGCACGCTCCGTCAGCCGGACCAGCTTATATCCATTGTGAGACAATCCAAGGTCCTTGATCATCTTGTTCTTGCTGCGCCGCCATCCAAAGGTCTCTTCGCGGCCTTCGAGGACCATTGTAAAGACGTACTTGTTCCTTCTTCCATCGCGCTTGCGGAGAACCTCTACTCGTCCGTGTATGGTCGCCCCGGTACATTGACATGGTATCTCGACCCATGCCTTGCGCAGGGCCAGAGCCTCGTATTTCGCCCAAACCGGCGAGGAATCGTCTGGTCCCTGGTGAAGAAGCATGCGTGGTAAAATTGGGTTATATTTTCGATGTTTGACGAGATACGCCCGTTTGTGCTTATCTGGCCCTATGAATGCCTTGCCCGGAAGACTCTTGCAAACCGTGATATTGCCAGTACTGCTGACACCGGAGATGGTTTCATTTGTCCCTGTGTTGGACAATGGCCAGTCAAGCTGAATTGATTTCTTATGGCTGGATGCCGATGTTCCGTCGAGCCAGGTCCAGGTATGATCAATGACTGAGGTGGACATGGTGATTTGCTATGTATTATGCTGTATATGTCTAGTTTCAAATAGTAGCACGAAGGAAGATGAAGGATGAGCCGTTGAGACAGTATTATGCCTCTAAAAGTAGCTTCAGAGGTAGTTAGGCAGGGAAAGCTGTCTCATGTATTGATCATACGTGTCCCTCAACAACTGTTTTCATTTTTAATCGGTAAGTCTGTCCATCAAGACGGGGTCATCACAGCCAAAGCTTCATTGCCTGCAAGTACGAATGGCATGGAAATAGGTATGCAGTAGCTTCCAACGCTTAGGAGGGCCCCGTAGGTAATGACGATGCAAATCAGCTAACTGTCTCAATTTTGTGCATTGAAAGGAGGAGCGGATCACGAGATTTACTCTCAACTATGACTCAACCAGAAAACTTTTACAATTTCCCAGAAGTTATAACGGGAAACACCGAACCCACAACGGCTACTACCTTCAATACTTAGATGTGTCATACAGATTGTTGAAAAGGCGGACCTACCAATCGATCAGTCGAGGTGTTAAAGCCGCATTTTCCCAAGCTCTCTACTCTTTCACAGGCAAAACAGAGACGCATCTGCATGTGAATAACCATGCATACAAGAGACTATCACCATCACAGGCAATTCCAATGAATCAAAAATGACAAAGGCTGCAATTATCTCTGTCTCGCCGCCGTTTCTCATTATTCGCCAACATGAATGAAATTCTTGTCTGGGACCTCTAAGACCGCTACAGCCATGGATTGTTCGACACACAGCAAACGCAGAGCTCGTATTTACAAACGGAGAAGAGTGTGCATATAATGCATCCTGAATCCAATTTACCCAGCCGTTAACTCTCTGTCATCGCGGAAGAATATTGTGCCTATTCAATTCCTATTAAGATAATTGTGACTCCAAGATCTCTATCTCACATGGAATCCCCTCCAGCCTCGCCTCGAAGGCACCATGCACCCTATCCCGACGAAGAATTTCCTGAAGGGCCCCTGATATCAAAGCATAGTTCCATCATCATCAACTGGCCGGATGGGAGAAAGGCGATAATCATGGGACCGCCTCGTCCACATTCAATGCCTAGTTCAGAATCACCTCCGTCATCATTTCCTCCGCAGTCACTGCTACCACCAGCATCGCAGAGACAAGCAACCACCCCACCGTCTAGTTCGCAGCGAAGCCTCACATCCCATGCCCGAGACGATGGCCCCAATTGGCAGGGATCCAGCGGTAAATCACGAGCATCATCATCGACGCGCGACGGCTGCGTCAGAGAGCGAACCCCACGCCCCTATACCAACGGACATCAAAGATCATCATCTCAGCACTCCCACACGCCCTCGCCACGACCAAGTTCGCATAGAAGGACAACCACGCCTCAACCCCGGACACCTAGCAACAGCATCTCAGGCTCGGACACCGTCCAACCTCACAGCGTTCCAGTCCATATTCTCAGCATGAGAGACACAGAAAACAATCCAAGCGTCAACAGTCTAGACAGAGCATCAATAGTGGAAGTCATCGGCCGCATAAGTCCCGCATCTCCACGATCGAGACGTCACCATCGCGATCAAAGCGGAAGTCCTAACGAGGGAAGACGACACAGGGATAAACACCACAGCGCTGACCGACGCGGCCCAGCCGTCATCCACGTCGAGGCGAACATAAGAGAAGGGCCAAGGAGATCATCCCGGCGCGATCGAGGTGGCGACAGAAACAACTGCGGCAACGGTAGATTCGGAAACAGTCGAAGAGACGGAGAGCATGATCGCGGCGGCCAGAAAAGCGGAGTCTTTCAAAAATTTCTACAGAAATGCTTGCCGTTCTCGCCCGGGTCATCTCGAAAAAGCGGAGATGGGGATGGATATGAGTCGCGATCTAGTTCCCACAACCGCCGCTCGGGACGACGGTGAGATCCGTTGAATACTGGATGACTAGGGTACTAGATATGGCGAGCTTAACTCGCTCGAAGGAGAGATACACGGACACTATTATCAAAAACACATACATATTAGAGGTAGACACTGACATCTTATTCACTTCATGTTGTGCGACGTCAACGACCAACAATAAATGACACATCTCGCCAAGGCTCGCAAACGGGTATCTTCATTACTCATTCTAAGTCTCCATAACACCTCAACTCCCCGAATTTGTACATAGTAGCCGCAGGTTCAGCTCCTTAAGGGGGCTAGATGAACCCCGGTGTAGAGGGAATACGATGAGAATTTTCATGCGTTTGTTACAATTTCTGAAACACGTTTCTGAATATCTCTCGGCTTTTGAAGAGATTCACTACACGAAGTCTCTCGTTGACAAGATGAGCCGAATCCGACGCCTGACCACAAGGTAGATGCGCGGCTGGGGCGTTGAACTCCTTTTCGAGGAATCTAATGGCAGGAATTGAACCGCCTTCCCTTATGTAAAGAGGCCGACCGAGCTTTGGAGAATTTTTAGTCGGTTGTGTTCTAGATTCGGACGATCCATCTGTATCAGCAGTTGAAGCAGAAGTCTGTAAACTAGATCTCCTGGCAAATAGAGGGTCCCATGCTTTTAATACCGCATCCTCTAGAGTACGGAATATGTAACTACTAGGGTCACCTAGCCACGGCTCAGCTTGTTCATCGATCTCGATACTGAGTTTGTTATCTGACTCGAGATTTTCAAACTCTTGCTCCAAGACAGCGGTGAGAGAGCTGGTAACTTCCTCAACTTTTTGACCGGGAACCAATCGCACGCTAATCTTCGCGCTTGCATGGCTACTAATCAAGCTTCCATCTGGACCAGAGACCTTAACCTTATGGTGTGTTAGATTTGGCTCTCGCCACCGAGCCATTAAATTAGCTTTGAGGGTTTCGGCGGAGATGCGATTCCCACCGCTGCTTTGAGCCATTAGTACCGATAATATGTCATCATACCTAGCCTCCTCCTCCGGGGTTAAAGGCAGAATCCCATCATAGAATCCGGGTAACATGACGCGGTTGCGAGGACCCTTCAGCTTGGCAAGCAGCATCATAAGGTCAGAAAGGGGTTCATTGACCATGTAAGAACCGTCAACGCCAGAATGCAAATCAGGATTCCTGGATTCAACGCAGACGGTGGCGTGCATAACGCCTCGCAACCCATACGTCAGACACGGCGTCTCGTCATCTAACCAATAACTGTTGGCTAGTAGGATATAGTCGATATGCCCTATACGTTCTCTATACTTGTGTACGGTTTCCTTGAAGCCACGGGATCCAGATTCCTCTTGTCCTTCTATCAGGAATACGATATCGGAATCTAATGACTTTGCTTGCATCAGGTCCGTCACAGCATACAGTGCAGCCATTATTGGTCCTTTGTTGTCGCTTACGCCACGACCATAAAGATAACCGTTGAGTCCAGTAAGCTGGAAGGGATCGTTTTCCCACTTTCCCTTCTTAGTATCTGCCGGAACAACATCGTAATGTCCGTAAAAGAGAATTCTTTTCCTGTTCCCCGCTGGCGATGCTTTGCCACCAAATTTGGCAAATACAATGGGATGGTGAAGCTTATCATCTGCGCTAAGCATTTCAACATCGCCACCCAACTTTTTAAAGAGACTAAGAAGGAACGAGGCCCCTCTACGGCAGTCCTCAGCATACTCAGCTCGAGATGAGACAGTTTTGTAAGAAACGAACTCTCGCAGAGAGGTAACCATCATATCTTCATGGGGTTCTGGAATGGGTTGTTCCGGGGAGGAATGGCTTGGGAGTAACCAGACGGCCACATTGTTGTCATTGGCTCCAGATATGAAGAATTCTTTATCCTCATATGTTGTGACAGCCGACGACAGAATTTTTCCATCATGGGCTTTCCACTGTGTCAAACATTGATACTTTTGGCTGACTTCCTGCGACGCTTCTAGCTCATACTTCCCGTAGTGGGCTGTGCTATGTTTCTACAATCGTAACACTGTTAATACAGTGAACGGCAGCAGAAAGGGGTAGAGTGAGATCAGGTCTGACTTACGCTGACAGTCCCCGAACGAGCGGCGCTCCATAGGTAGCCCCAGCCCATCTGGATGGACATGACATCTCCCTTGTGAGCCTTTATGACTCTTAGCTTCTGCCTAGTGTCGAGGTCCCAAAGCTCAATGATCCCGTCTAGTTTACCACTATATAGGAACGAGCCATCGACGGAAATTGACATGACAGAATTAGCATCATCCTCGCCGAGGACCATGATCTCCTGCAGGCCTGTTTCGTAACCATCTGGGCCAATTTCTTTACCGCCAAGCTTCCAAGCTTTGATGGTGCCATCACCACCCCCAGAAATAAGAATGTCTTCATCTGGTTTCGTAAACTCGGTGGCGCCATGTGTTATGAGCATACAATAAACATAGCCAAAATGGGCAAACATCTTATTGGATCGCTTGTCTGTCTCGAGTACCGTGTGTGGCCGGGGAATCAATTCGTACCGCTCGTCGGTGGGTCGGGGAGTACTGGTACCGCCGATTGCTCTTGAATCAAAGAACCTGTGGTTCCGACGATCGGGGTGCCTTGCCGAATCATTCGATACACGGCGGCTAGGGTCTTCGAGACTAGTCCATTGGATAGACGTATTCTGGGCTCCGTAGTAGACGGTCTCGTACTGGGAGGAGTATGCGACAGAGAAGATATCGCCGAAAGAGTCATTGGTGCTATAGATCTCATACAGGCGATCCATACTCCTGGGGCACCAGACGTTGACAATTGGGTCGCTCGCGCTGGAGAAAAGCAGAGACCGATCATCGGAGAGGAACAGGCTCATGACACTGCGTTTGTGTGCCTGAATGCGGTGGATGGGTTGGAAGTCACCCAGAGACCAGACGAGGATCTCGCCATTTTGCGTACCGGCATATATCCTGTCGTCACCGACAACGAGGGTGAGAACCGAGCTGTCATGTTTCAGGGTATGGATGAGTTGCGGAGTGGTATGCGGAGGGACTTCGACGATGGGGGACGGAGCGGACGCGGCGGGCATGTTGCCTACAACGATTTGGTACTCGTTAGTCGTTTCCTTTGCGGTGTATCTTCATTTCTGGAGACGTGCAGCCGGGACGCCAGGATCAATGCCAACGTCCGTGGCGCGAGCGTTGTTCAAGTTGTTCAAGGGAAGTGGATGTGTGACGTTTCTCCCTCTCCCTCTCTGTCTCTTGTCTCTTCAAACACGGACGGGTGTAGCGCTAGCCAGTGCTAGACCAGCGAGCTGGGATGTGGTGTGAGGTGTGAGTGGGGGTTTCACAGCCAGGGTCTGGCTCGGTACCTGATAGCGTGCCCGATCGCCACCATGCAGCTTGCACTTTGCACGCGAGAGATGTGAGAGTGGTATCGCCGGCGAGGCGCACGGGGGCGCACGGTGGTCTCAAGCTGGCAGCTGTGGTTATTTCCGCGCCAGCGGCTCTAACATACTTTCGCTCTGTTTCTAAATTTGTGATGTGTAGAGCGAGAGAATTGGTCGGATCCACCCACCTCGTCGGCCTTAATTGACTTTTTTTGCTCATCACATCTTGTATGCCGTGGTCTCGACGTGACTTGACGGAGATGAATAAATAGTATGAAGATAATCAGCTTACCTTGGAACATACCCAATGTTCTGTCCAGCGATGAAAGTTCCTGTTCTTCCATCTTGGCGATCTCTTCCTCTTCGGCCTTCATCTTTACACACCCCGTGCAGCCACTTGGAGCCGCGATCAACCCTACGGCCATACTGAGGCTCGAGCTTCGAAGGCCTAGTTAAAGCGTTGTTTCGAGTAGTTGACCAATTGGACGATATAGTGCCATAACGAAGTGTCTAGGCAGGATGAGTGATAGAGAATAGGAGCGTCCTTTATATATCGCACTCTGCCTCATCAAAAGCTCCGAGAGCCGACACGTACCCAAAGCTACATGCAGGTTTGATTGGCCCATGTCTCAGATATGGGAAAAGCTCACGAGAGCAAGGGACTATCGGTGTGATGAAGCCTCCCAGATCAGCAAATGCATGGTCTTGGCCGCTCCAGGACTATGGGCCTCGCAAGTCATGATACCGTAAGCTGAGAGTCGAAACTTGACACCTACCGTGATCGAGACTTGGTACAGGGATAAATACCTACCTATGTAATACCGGTACATCACCGCGGTTGACTGCCTCGACTGCCTTGGCCCGAGAGCTGAACGGACGCCAGCCGGAAGCAGTGCTTCCACATCTGAGTATCTCTCAGATTAGACAGATGTCAAGGGCGGGCGAGCACTGTGGGAAGGCGTTCAATGGTTCCTACCCACTACCCAGATACAGATTCTTGTTTTGCAATGCAACCCAGCTGATTCCCAGCTCACGGAAGATGCGACTCACCGCAACAAATGAGCTGAACTGTGCCCAAAAAGGCTATATGTATCCAATCGGAATTGGTCCACGGGTGTAGCTGTAGAAGGCCGACTTCGGCCGTGAGCAGAAAGGAGTCATGATAGTAGTAATATTCACCAGTATATCAGAATAGAGAGACAAAGAAATGCTCCCTTGCTCAAAAAATTAGCCGCAATGAGAGAATTAATGACGGAATTAGCGAAAGACATGTCGTCAATCGGCTTCAAGGGACCTGATCTGACATGGCATTCAATACAACCCATAGAATGGGAGGTCCTTGTCCCTCCAACTCTAGCTCTAGGGGGGAGAAACCGATAGTAGCTTATAGCGCATAAGGAAGATTGGGATTGGCCCCGTTATCTTAATATGATCAAGGCGAGGCTTGTGGACCCACCTTCCAGTTTTGCGGCAAGCTAAGGCGGCAGGCGGGCTACACGGAAAGTGTGGGGCAGACAATGTCACCTTGGCGATTTAATTTTCTTTCGTCGCCTTATCCCTTATCGCAACAACCTCATCGACATCACCGAATCGACGAACACTCCACCACCGCCACCACCGCCCGCCTTACGACATTGCACGACATTCTCTGCTCCCGCCGTTTAACGATCTCTACGGCTCTCCTTGATATCTCGTCTTCCAGTTCATACACATAACCCAAAATGGATCACACGCGCGACCCTTGCCCTTGGGTTATCCTCAACGATTTCGGCGGTGCATTTGCCATGGGAGTACGTTTTTGCCACGAGGGATCCCACGCTGTTCTGCCGTCAACTTCCTAGCGCAATTTCTAATAAGAACTTTCCCATAGGCTATCGGTGGCACCGTATGGCACGGCATTAAAGGTACGAATGCGAACTGCGCTGCCAGCTACGACGTGGCAACTCGACTATATGCTCACGACTTTTTCATTCAGGGTTCCGAAACAGTCCTGTAGGCGAGAGGCGGATAGGCGCCATCACAGCAGTCAAGCTTCGAGCGCCGGTGTTAGGTGGAAACTTTGGCGGTATGTTTCACGGCCAATTGCAGTACTCCGCGGTATGTGGGGTCCGACGTGGCTAACGATGGGCAAACAGTCTGGGGTGGTCTCTTCTCTACTTTCGATTGCGGAGTAAAGGGATTAAGGAAAAAGGAAGACCCCTGGAACGCTATCATGTAAGTGCAGTCAACATGCTTTCAACCCTCTTTTCAATATGTAATACTTGCTAACCGTACGCCAGCGCCGGTTTCTTCACTGGTGGTTCGTTAGCGATTCGAGGAGGATTCAAAGCTGCTAGAAACGGTGCTATTGGTTGCGCCGTATTGCTGGCAGTCATTGAGGGTGTCGGTATCGGTTTCCAGAGGATGTTTGCTGCATCAACCAAGCTCGAGGTTGGTTTCCTTATACCTAGAGTTATCCAGGATTGTCGCGCAATCTCTAACAGTCTACTAGTTGCCGCCGCCACCACCTAGCCCCGAAAAGGCTGCTCTTGCCTAGGCGAGGCACTATACTCCGAAGATACTACCTTTATATCCCGAATGGGTCGATACCTCACTCTGCTCCTTCAAGCCGACAGCTTCAGCCTCGGCTTCTGTATTTACCATGGATTGTTGGCTGTTTTTGCATATTGGGGGAGTTTGACGTGTAAACTACATAGAAGCTGCCGGGAAGGGTCATTGATACCCTCTCATCTCGGCGTTGCTGGTCACCGAACCAATACATCGGCATGTGATTATATACTAATGATGATTGATTATAGTATAAGCTGCCCACCGGCTTGTTCTTCTCTATGTCTTGTGCTACGCTTGAGAGCTAATCAAAAATATAGATGATCCGGAGCGCCTTCATGCAGTGTTCAACATGTGCTTTCGCTTTCATGGTCATGCCAAATCTTCATTTCTGGTAATCCGTCGTCGCCAATCCAAGCCCGGAACATACCAGCACAATTATGATCTTGTAGTATCTCCGACCTTGAATACAGCACGGCGCCTGATTTGTCCATGCCAATGGTACATTCAATACCAATCATTCCGCCTTCGCCTTCACCTGTCTTTCCCCATCTGGAGCCTGCACTTTTCTCGAGCTCACCACCCCTCCCCGCGATGCGGTTCACAGCATCCGAGGCCGACAATCCGGCCCATCGCGCAATTGACGCCACTGATCTAGCAGCAGCTACTCGAACAAACGAGTCACCGTTTCCAGTACCCGAGACAGCAGTTGACCGTATGACAACTACGTCTTTGCTACTCGTGTGAGCAGCGTGAGAGTGTCTCTGTGCGACAGGCCTGTACGTGAAGGGTGTCGGCAGACAATCCGCAATAAATCCACGCAGAGCCGAAGAGAGTTCCACGACAGGACCCGGCACCGTCAAATACTCCCTCAAACCTCCCCACGCGTCCGCGTGTAACCGCGCTGCGCTGGGATCCCCTTTCTCAGACCATTCCTCGGCCCAAAACCCGGCGCCCACGACCGGCGTGTCACCTATGCGGCCCGTGAGCTTATTCGTCACACCGCCCGTGCTCGTCGCGACGCAAATCACGCCGTTTTCATCGAGCGCGACAGCACCACAGGTTCCCTGAGGAACGTACTCGTCGACACTCCATGTCGCCGATCCCTTGCCCTGCTTCTCCTTCTCCAGGCCGCGTATGTGCTCGTCCCACCGCTTCTGCGTGAAGAAATAGCCGGGGTCTACTATATCCAATCCGTACTTCTTCGCCAAGATCTCTGCTGTCTCCCCGTGGATCAAGGTATGTCCTTGCGCTGACGGCACGTCTAAATCAGCCTCGGTTTCCCGCGCGGCCCAGCCCAGGTCGGTGTTTCCGACGAGATCCCGCTCGCCGTGCTCGAGCATGGCTTTCGCGAGCAGGATCGGGTTCTTGACGGTCCGCAGTCCGGTCACGCCGACGCCGCGCTTCGCGAAACCCCGCGATACCATCACCGACGCCTCGAGCTCGTTGATGCCGTCGCGCGTGAAGACGGCGCCGTGCCCGGAGTTGAAGAGTGGGCTGTTCTCGAGCTTGACGACGGCGTATGTGGCTGTCTCTAGAGCTGAGGGGTATACGGAGCCATAAACATGTTTGTCAGTGGCGCCTCTTGGGGTCGTCATATAAGTATTGGTTGATGTGACCTAGGGTACAGTTAGTTGAGAGTTTTGTCTCAGGTCGTACCCCGCCTATTAATGATCTATGCGCAATAGTATCCATGATAGTTAATTATGTAATAAAATAAACGTATCAAAACGTACGATATCAATAAGTGTCCGTCGGTACTGCTGATATTGATCCGCGCTCATGCTCTCGCGCTTGATGTTGCCCGCGCCGCCGTGGATGATAATGCGGGGCTCCACCTTCACCTTCACCTTTGCCGCCATGACTGGAGCCATTAGATTATCTGATGTCGGTGTGTACGATAATAAGCAGCAGGATTCAGCCTCTATCAATCTTATTCGAAACGTTTGACCGAACAAGGCAGACAGAGGGGAGTATTCGCTCCAATTCGGCGGGTTGAGTTGTTCATAAGGACCCGAGGGCCGGGGCGATAAGGATCCACGGCGGGAGCTGATAAGCGACAACCTACATACCTAACTTGGACATGTACTCGCCTAGGTAATAGGTAGGTATCCTGTGTCATTCGTGCTCGATCCCAAATGATTCCTTTCTACCTTGGCATCTGTCTTCAAGGCGACGCATTGTAGCTGCCTTGATGAGCGTATCATGTAGGTAACACCGATGTTTCAATTCCCAACGAATTGCAGTTCTGCTTTCATTGGACGGCTACTTGAGATGCATAGCTATGTATAAGAGCCTCAGCATTGTCTTGAGAAAGGACAGCCTACGGTTCTTGGTAGATCTAAGCCGCTATGCTGCGGTCGTTTGGCCTAGCTGAGCCTCACGTTGATTCCAATCTGGTCAAGGAAGCTGCAATAGCTACAGCGCTTAGCGGTAACGAGGGCGCAGATAGAATGCCGTCAGACCAGTTGAGGCGCTATATAATCTCACCCACCTATTATACCTAGCTGTTGTAATACCCTCCTCCGTATTCCTTCTCGGCTTAGCAGTATATGCAGGATTCAAACGGCAAAGAGCATGGAAATAGAAGAGGAGACCAAGGGAAGCCATTTCGGCTAGTCTCTTCCCTTGTTTCTACCTAGTGAGCAATCCAGAAGCCTTTTTTCATACTCTGATTTATGCAATAAACAGGCCAGCATGCAATGGCTCTCGTTCCTCAGAAGCCTTGTACTTAGAGGGAAGATGGATATGGCAGCTTCGACAAAGCTACAAGCACCATCTATACCTCAGCCGAATGACCCGGACAACTCATCAGAGTATGCCGAAGGCGATAACACGACTCCCCCTAAGTCTGAGAATAAACATAGTATAGGCTGGAGCCTCTCTAGGTGGAAGTGGGAGATTATGGGAATGGCGCTTAGCTTCTCATCCTTTGCGGCATCTATCACTCTCTTGGCTGTCTATCATGGCCGAAGAGTGGATTCTTGGAATGCCCCTTTCACCCTCAATACTTTCATTTCTATACTGGCCCAAACAGCACGTACGTCACTGGCGTTTGGTGTTGGTTCGTGTCTCGGGCAAGCAAAATGGAATGTCTTCAGTACGCGCTCTGGCAACCTAGCGTTGTTTGAAGCTTTTGACGAAGCCAGCAAGGGACCATGGGGAAGTCTGAGCCTTCTCTACCGTTTACGTTCATGGTGAGTACACAGCATGACGTCAGCAAATCTTGTCTCCTGCATCCAGACATGTTTGAATGCATTTTCCATTATGAGTTCGCAGAGCTAATTCTACGACAAAGGAGTCTAGTTATTGTAGGCGCCTCGGTGATCACCTCGCTGCTCGGTTACGAGCCCTTTATTCAGGCTAGCATTACCCAGTATGGCAAATTGGACAAGGAGCCTACGAGCTCAGTGCCTCGGCCTTCTATCAGCCAAGCTAGAAGACTTGACATTGGATCGCTCTCGTTCGACACTGTCTACTTCAATAGGCGCGATACTGCTCCCTATCTTGTGTACGTACAAGGTGCTGATTTAGGGCTCCTAACCTCAGTATATGAAGGACTCTCAGTTTCAAACATGACAGTTGCGCTTCCCCATTCTACATGCCCTACGGGTAACTGTACTTACGGAAGTTTTGCATCACTTGGTATCTGCAGCTCCTGCGTTGATGTAACATCATATATTGTAGCAGATCGACAGCAAACCATACCAGGTGAAACAGTGTACACTCTCCCATGGAAACTCGACTCAAACTTCAGTCTCTCAACTTCCAGCTTGATCAAGAATCTGGGGTCTTGCATATTTACTTCTCAAGTGGAAAAGACGATCTCATTTAATAACACATTGAATAGCACTACATTTGCGGTATTCGGATTCTTACAACCCGCATCCAACCATACTTTTTATCAGACTAATACATCTACATTGGAAAACGTCGTTCCCAAAGCGACAGAATGTGGGCTATATTATTGCACGAATGTCTATTCGTCAACCATCTTGGAGGGTACGCTGAACGAAACACTTGTTGCCTCTATGTCTAATCGCGATATGAGTTCCTATGAGCCGTATGATCCTACTGTTGCCGCTCCTCATACTTTGTACCAACAATTTGACTACCCCCGGTCAGACCTCCAACTGTTCATACCGGAGAAAGAAGCAAAGCAGCTAGGACTAACGGATGACCACACATTGCGATTCAACATATCGCAAGCCACTATTCAATCGATTTCATATTTGCTAGGACGTGATATCAGTGAAGAACCGTCTTTCATCCCAGATTCCACTGGTTCGGTTCTTGTTCAGTCCATCGGAGCCTCCAAGGACTTGAACGCGAAATTCCGCGCGATAGCCGAGAGCATGACCATCTACCTTCGCGGCCATGATTACGAGGGCTCTGCACACTACGGAGTTTCCCAACGATGGGTTCTCCACTACCGCATTCGCTGGGAATTTCTTCTCCCGCCATTGAGCCTTACACTCGCTGGGTGCTTCTTCGTCATGTATACCATATGGGAGACCCAATCGCTTGGATTAATGGCTTGGAAACAGAGCACTCTTGCTACCCTCGCCCATGGGCTGGATGCTTGGACGAGAGCCAGGATGAGAGAAGCTTACCTTAATAACACCGAGGACAAATCGGCTAAAGATATATCAGTTAAAGCTGAGAGGTTTCGGGGTGGTATTGAGCTTTGTGAGGCTCCATCAAGTGATGCATCGGAGGCTGCACCATACAGGGACTCTCGAGTGGTGTAGTCCTCCGTGAACAGGAGCTTGGTTTTCGATGATTATTTCATTCTTGATATATAGAGAGTGTTGAAGTTCGGTTGAGTATCTCTTCACACTACTTCATGGTGTATTTTCGACACATTTCCCTTTCCCATTTATCTTGTTCTTTCCTCCAACTCATTCCCTAACCTTTCCTTCCTTAGTTTTTGCTCTTTTCAGGGGCTGGTGCATGGGCTGGTTTACGCTCTGGTGCGAAAGGAAGGATCACCTCAAAAATGTGTATAGAGTGATTGATGTGGTACAGGTCAAGCTCATGATAGATTATCTCTCTTACGACATCTGGATACACTGGCACTGACCGCACCTGGTTCGAAGCCAGGCGCATGTTATCTAACACCATCATGAAGAAAGGCAGTTGAGGGGAAGAACTGTCATGGTGAATGGATTTCGGTTCTTATCTGCATAAGGTAAATGCATGTAGGAACATACTTTGATATGAATACCTTATTCAGTATGTGGCTGTTTAGGTTTGTATACCATGAATCCTAGAACTCTATCATGGATATTTCAGGGATGGATACTTTCAGCGAACCAGTAAGTATTTACTTACTTATGCCGAGTGTGATTGTTCTGATATCAGGCTAGCTAGGGAAGTACACATGTAGATATGTACCTAGCCACAAACATTGAAGATAGAAGGAGAGATGGCAGCAAATACAACTTGCACTTGCCTGATGAATACATTGAACGCATTGAACGCAATACCCATGACGTACACACTTCATTAAGTATCAAGGTAGGTAGGTACATAGGTAGGTACTCAATGTATTTATCTCCAACCACATGCACCTCTCTGCCCTCTCTCAAGTCAACAAGCCAGCCTCGAGGTACTGAATTTGCGCACATCTAATTGATTCATTGACCGACTGACACTAGCTTCACCCAACGAGCCCATCTGCGTCTCTCGAAACCATAGCAACCACATACCAACTCAGTGTTTCTTACTCATCAGCCCGACTGACTGGGTTCATACCACCATATCTTCCCCTCTTGCTGCCATGAGTGACCCAGAGCAGGCTGTCTCTTTTCTCTACCGTCTGGTCGACAGCTTCACCCAACAAGGGCCTTCAATAGCTGCCCTTACCTTCATCATCCGCCAATTCATTGAGATCAACGGCCTGTTGTGGAAGACAACAGTCGAAGGTTTGGCCAAACTTATCTGGCTGCATATAAGAATCGACTTCGCCCTAAGTTTGTTATTTGCCCAAGTCATCCTCTCGTTCTTCGTTTCCTGCCTATGTCGCACTGCCATCATCATCTTCCAATGTATCGAAATCGGGAAGCGGTACATCCCAGGGACAAAGGCACAACAGAGCAGCTCCGACGCTCAACCACCGTGTCCTCCCCTTGTAGATCGTGGCACACAAGAGTCTCAGCATCACTAAAAACACCACAGAAGATGAAGGCTGCGAGGCTCGACCAACACATGCGAGACACGCCAGTGCAGACTGCTCCTTTTACACCCGCTCGCAGCTTTCATCACCCGTCTGCACCCACTTCGACTCGCAAGGTATCTGCTAGTTTCTCGACAGATTGCCCTCTGTCGGGTCATCCCACCATTGCTTGTTCTTCTGTCACAGCGACGACCATGATGAAGTCGCCACACCCACCACCTCACCGTCCGTCGTTCAGCAATAAGTCATCTACCATGTCTTCAACCCAGTCATATGGCAATATGGAAGCCTTTACGACAAACAGTAGACTCAAGAGCTCACGTACCTATACCGGTATTCCAATGTCGACCGGCCAACAAAAAGTACCCTCATGCCGTCCATCTGTATCAACAGCCTACACCGCCACACCGGCTTTACCCAGCCGCAGAGCAGAGAACATTCCACCTAGCACTTCAATGGCAAGCATCACCACGAAAGATCAAAGCGCATATCGATATCCAACTCCGCATCTAGCCCCCAAACTAGCATCTCCAACGAAAAAGACGACGAAGTCCCGTCTCAGCATATCTAAGTCGCGAACATTCAACGCATTATCCAACCTGACGGCAACCATATCCCGGACATCCTTAGGACAGCTCACAGGCAACGAATCAAGGGGCACATCCATATCCTCCAAGAAATCAGGTGGTAAAGACCCACCGCCATACACGAGTTCACAATCGACTTCATCGACTTCATCCCAAGCGCTCCCAAGCCCAGGCCTCAACGCTCCGGGGCCCGGACAAATCCACACAGCGCAGAGCTCAGCATACTGGGCCGGTCGATTCATGGCATTACAAGACCGCTTTCAATCCGAAACCCTACAATCCGAGAACCTCACAGCCCTCGCCAACGCGCACGCAGAAAGGTCCATGATAGGCTCAATACAGCCGAACAACCTCTCATACTCAGCAACAACAAACTGCATCACGCCCGCCACATGTCCCAAAACAACAACATCCCGCGTCCCGCCCCCTAAATTTCGACGTTCGACAACCACGAACAACATGAAACATACCACAGCACTTCCAATTCCGCCCCGCTCATCCCATGAAACGGCCGCAGCACAACTCGCCGCCGAAGACGCCCGATGCCAGAGGATCTTCGCATACCTGGAGTCACTTTGCGTGACGAGCGAGGCGCGCGGGAGTCTGCGGCATTGGCAGAAGTGCTACGCGGGCCGCATGGGGAAAGAATACCTCTTTTCTTCTACGGTGCAGAAGGACAAGCGCACGAGGGAATTGACGTGGGTTGGGCGTCTGCTCATGGGTGGCGATAACCATGGGAAGAGAGGGAGTTTAGGGCTTTAGTCTGGTCAGTGAAACCCTGCCTAATTATTGTTCACATTGGAATGGAATGGAAATGGAAATGGATATTTATATTTATATTTCGCCCACGGGGATATTTCCGTTGGCTTGGTGTCAGGAGTGAAGCTGTATAGGTATTGTTCATTGCGGATTGATATGGACAAGACGGGATGCCATGGGATCGAAACTGGTTCCGTCACTTGTGCGAGTTGTGTATTACTACATCATTTTCATTGTTTGACTAGTCGTTTAAGGAGGAAAGATGGTAGAATCATAGGCATGCACCTCTACTGTCACCAAGGAGAGGGTATCAAACGATAGAGCTAGAAATGAATTGGAAGAAGCATTCATTCACCACTTCTCAACAACCAAGCACTGTACGTCAACACACGAGTCTAAACGAAACTGGTATCTATTTACTCCTCGCTTGCCTGCCTGCCAGCTTGTTCTCACCCGTCTATTCTCATGATAGTGATACACGCTCGAGTAATCATCCGCTCTTTAAAGCAAATTAAACAATCAGCCTTTTCTAGTGAAAAGGTTTCATAGCCACCATATCCATACCATTTATGCAATTTTTTTAATTCCTCAAACGCCAATCCCGAATTTTCCCCCTACCTTGACCCTAGCCCCTCGACTAGATAATAAAAATGAAGAATGGGATTCGTCGTTTTAGTATTTCGACAAGTCCGTTTATCCATAATAGTTCAGGGTGGTGGTTGAGAACCATTATCATGTTTCGACTCATTCGCTTTCTTCCTCGTCCGCATGAAATCCTTAATCTGGTCAACTTTGGTGGCGAAGAACATTCCCTTGCGGTCGTTGCGCCAGGCCACGACGCCAATATCGTCAGCGAAATTGCATATCTCGTTGTACTCCTTATAGTCGTCGAAGTCTTTGAATAGAAAGCCCGAGGTGGCGAGCATACGCTCTGTGTCGAGCTGCCAGAGGCGGATCTGATCGACGACGACGGGGGGTAACACGGGCTTCTGAGCCGCTGCACCGACACGGTGCATTTCCTCGTGTGCGTGAGTGGCTAGGTAGGAAATTATTTGATCTGATGTGATACCCATATCTACGGCACGCCTAATAGAAGCTCTCGTCAAGACACCGCTAACAAGTCCTTTAAATCTGTATTTAAGATCAACGAAGAGGGCGAGCACAGCGATTTGCAGTGGCGAATCCACGTATGCATACACGCGAAAATTAGTCTCTAGTATGATGGCGCTCTTCTCCTGATTCGACTCCACGGTGCCTGCATGGGCTGCGGCGGCGAAACCGGCGCTTATGCTCCGGGTGTGCATCTCACTGCTCGTTAATGTAGTCGCGAGGCGCGTAGGGAAGAATTGTCGGGCATTGGTCGGCGGGACGTAAACAAGGCCAAAATCGACGAGATTCGGTAGCATGTTACGCCGTGCTTCAGTCAACGCATCTGTGTCGTATGCTCGCCCCAGCTCCAAGGAGGCGAGGAGAAAGAAGAACGAGAGCATGTCAACGCTGTCGAGGCCTTCGCGCGAGGCTTCATCTGTGCCCTTAGCAGACGCAGCCGCGTCGACGGATTCTAGCCAGAGCAGAAGGAGATTCCAGACTTGGGAGTTTGTGACTTGCAGCAAGAAGGTGAACCCTGCCTGCGTAATGCTGATGCCACTACCACCTCGTCGCTCCACAAGGTGACCCCTAATCATGAGGTCTTTGACAGACTGCTTAGGGCCATTAGAACCGCGGTCGCCCGGTCCGCTGCTGACTGCCGAGTTGACAACAAAATGTAGTATGCCGTCCCATTTTCCCTTTGCATAATGATCGAGAAAATTCAGATCCACATCTGGGGGGATTGGCTCTTCGGAGGGTACGCCGAATGACTGATGCTCGCCCGTGCCCTCGAGTACCATGCGCAAGCTATTACGGAAGTTGGGCGTTAGAGCTATTATAGAAGGGTTGTCGCGAGATATTATATGGAGGGAGCGTAGGATCGAAATGACCTGGTCTTTCTCTCGCTTGGCACTTGCTCTCACCCAGGCATCGAGGTCGGATACGGTGAATGGATTCGGCATGTAGAGTATTCCCATTACAATTGTCTTGGCTGTTTAAAGTGGAAATTAGCACATGTCATGCGCGCGAGAAAGTGATATGACAAGATCTAGTTGGCTGCGTCGAAGTGAAAGGGGCTTTTACCTAGCTTCGGGAGCATACGCCGAAAGATGGCGAATGCAGCGGAGGGTTGCTGGTAAAGTCTTCTAAACGTGGTGCCAGGCAACGACTCCAAGTAGGATGTGAGGGAACTCGCGTTAGACGCCATTTTTGCGGCGGGAGATGGGGCGTCGAAGAACCACGACGAGTACTTGGTGAGAGGCTATCAGGGCATCGTTTGTGAAGATGTTCGATTACGCTGGCGGGCGACGAAGGAGGTTGAACCATCGTAGGCACCTAAGAACCCGGATGGCAGCTGCAGCCCTGGCTGTAGGTAATGACGCAGAGCGGCAGGGACGACCCAGAATACAGTGCTTATGTTAGGGATGATATCCCCTCACACTGTGCGATTACCTCGACATCTCGCTGCTTACCTACACCAAGTCTCGCTCGCACCACTTGCGCAAAGAAAGATCACAGGTTAGAGAGAGATGTACCGGTAGTGGATGTCCTTCTACACGATGCCATGGTGGATATGAAGTTGAAGAGCCGCGGTCGAATAATCGGTAACAGAAACAGCCGCAAACGTTCGACTAGCCATGATAAACAGGAAATTCGACATTATTTTGTTCTCGCTCCGCGCAGACGAGATTCGTTCCTGTTCATAGCTTGGGACTATGTACACATTTGGTACTACCGGTAGTACGCGCGAGCGTGACAGGGGCTTATTAGTCTTATCAATGACACGGACATTGATGGCCATTTGACCAGTATTATCTCCCACTACCCGGTATCGGGAAATATCAGGGTCTAACCAAAGCCGGGCAACACATGGCAACAATTGCATGGAACTACATGAAACTACCAATAGATGATGTGCGATATATCCTCAGAGGCCATTCCAGTTTATAGAAACGCGAGAGCATGTTCCCCCATATATAGTGTAGATATATGAAGATGCTAGATTGGCGATATTGTTGGCCGGTTTCGGGAAGTCCAGGCGACATAATCACATCACAACTACGGAGGTCGAGGTCTTATATGTCCATCATCCTTGGTATTGGGCTACCATGAGAAGCCTAATGTATATTTGCAACCCTCGCCTACGTACACGCGTACCGGCTTGGGCTTGGCTTCCCCGCATAACCCGTGGGCGTGTCCGGGCGGCGCCACCGGGCGATGGGTTCTTTCAAGCCTTCATTCTCCAAGCCTCTCATTCCTGTCCCTCCTCCCCGTGATCGCCCTACACTTATCAGTGTGGGGTCAAGCAATGACAAGATTGGATCTTGAGCACCGAGGAGGAAGCTGATCTAGACAGTCGATTGTGCATATCCAAGGTCTACGAGTAGTACCAATTCCTGCCCAGCCCGGGACTCCCAGTCTTTTTACACGTGCGGGCTAATGGCTCTCTTATCATGTGGGTAGGTATTTCATAATCTGAACAATCAAGTGTTACCGCTATCATAGACTATGGGTGTCTCCAGTCTAGCTGACATTGACGAGCTGATATCACTGGTTCGACGCGCTCCCTAATATGAGTTATATAAGTAGCCACAGTAGACAACTTGACTGGCTATCAATCAAAACCTCTTCACTCTACCTATTACTACGCATGTGATACAATCACTTCAATTTCACATCTCACATCTCACCCCGTCATCAACATCATTATGGGTACAGCATCGGCAGGTGTTCTTCCCCACCCCTTGGATCCCCTCTCGCAAGCCGAGATCCAAGCTACCATCGACCTCGTAAAGAAAGCACATGGGGAGCTGTTCTTCAATGTCGTCTCCTTACATGAGCCGCGGAAGGCGGAAATGACAAAATGGCTCGAGGACTCTTCTGCTCCGAGACCAGCAAGGATCGCGGATGTCGTAGTTATTGCGCCCGGCGGTAAGGTTTACGATGGACTGGTAGATCTTGCGTCTGGAACGATCACAAAGTGGGAGCTGCTAGATGGACTACAGCCTATTGTAAATACCCCTTGAAGCTTGGCATAATACAGACGCTAACAACTTGATCAGATCACGATGGAGGAGTTGACGGCGGTCGAGCATATCTGCCGCAGAGACCCGAAAGTCATCGAACAGTGTGAAATCAGCGGTATCGCCAGAGAAGATATGGACAAAGTCTACTGTGATCCCTGGACTATTGGCTATGATGAGCGCCACGGTAACAAGATCCGCCTGCAGCAGGCCCTGATGTACTACCGACCCAATGTGGACGATTGTCAATACCAGTACCCTCTAGACTTCTGCCCCATATACGATGGAGAGAAGAGGGAAGTCATTGCTATTGATATTCCCAAGGTCAGGAGGCCGCTTAGTAAGGTGCAGCCTATAAATTACCACCCGGCTGGTGTTGAAAAAGCTGGCGGGTATAGGAATAATCTCAAACCAATCAACATCACACAGCCCGAAGGTGTCTCATTTACGATGACTGGTCGGGAGATTGAATGGCAAAACTGGAAGTTCCATATTGGCTTCAACTACAGAGAAGGCATCATCCTTAACAATATCACGTTCAATGACAAGGGCAACGTGCGACCAATCTTCTACAGACTGTCGTTGGCCGAGATGGTAGTTCCCTAGTAAGTCCGCTGCTTCAACTAAGCCATCACATTGTGCTTAAATACGTCTAGTGGCAACCCCGAGCACCCTCATCAACGGAAGCACGCGTTCGATCTTGGAGAGTACGGCGCTGGTTACATGGCGAACAGCCTCACACTAGGCTGCGACTGTAAGGGCTCAATTCATTATCTAGATGCAGAGTTCCCTACCAGAGCTGGTGGTATCCGCACAATTAAGAATGCTAGTAAGTATCAATGGCCTGTCAAGTTTTAAATCCACACTATTTGTGAGCTGGACGCTGATGCAGGAGACTGTAGTATGCATTCACGAAGAGGACGCCGGAATCTTGTTCAAGCACAGCGATTTCCGCGACGACTCTGTCATCGTAACAAGGGCGAGAAAATTGATAATTCAGCAAATATTTACTGCTGCAAACTATGAATATGCTATTCAGGTGAGTTGCACACCAACATTGCCTTGTCACTCAAGTGCTGACTTTACTTTCACAGTGGATTTTCCATGTAAGACGCCTTTGAAGCTCGGCTCTGTCGCGATCGTCATATTAACCTAGCTTGGAAAACAGCAAGATGGAACCATCCAGCCTGAGATTAAGCTTACAGGCATTCTGAACACTTACGCAATGGCTCCCGATGAGGACACCCGTGGATGGGGAACCCAGGTGTACCCAGGTATGAAAGCTTGCGCAGCGCTACCCCTGAATCAATATCACTAATCACCCACGCAGGTGTCAACGCCCACAACCACCAGCACTTATTCTGCCTACGCATCGACCCCAACGTCGACGGGCCCAATAACACAGTCTTCATGGCCGACGCAGTTGCCTCCGACGCCCCAGTGGGGAGCCCGGAGAACTACTACGGGAACGCGTTTTTCGCCAAGCGCACAAAGTTCTCCACGGTCGGAGAATCAGTCACCGACTACGACGGCACCAAGAGTCGAACGTGGGATATCTGCAACACGAACAAGTTGCATCCCTACAGCGGCAAGCCTTCTAGCTACAAGCTAGTTAGCAGGGAGGTCCCGCCGCTATTACCCAAGGAAGGCTCGTTAGTATGGAAGCGCGCTGGATTCGCCAGGCACGCTGTCCACGTCACCAAGTGTAAGGAGATAATTTTCTTTACCAATTCCTAGAAACTTCTACTAACATACGACAGACTGTGATGACCAACTCTGGCCCGCCGGCCGCCACGTGCCTCAAACATCAGGCGAGCCATCCCTCGGACTCCCAGAATGGATCGGCGACGGCACCGAGTCCATCGACAACACGGACATCGTGCTCTGGCACACCTTCGGGGTCACCCACATCCCTGCGCCCGAGGACTTCCCCGTTATGCCCGTCGAGCCGATCACCTTACTCTTGCGACCGCGCAACTTCTTCACGAATAATCCCGTCATGGACGTGCCGCCTAGCTTCTGCAGCACGCCCAGCCAGGTCGCTGCGAACGGCGCCGGCGTCCTCGATGCTAAAGATAAGATGAGTAAATTGGCTTTTACGAATGGGAATGGATGCTGTGCGAATGGTACGAATGGGACGCATTGATCGTATTTGAGCTTTCAATGAGTGAGTGAGTGTTGATGGGAGTTTATGAGGTGTGGATAATTTGATATTGGCGCGTACTCGGTTTTGTAATGCTTTTCAATAGGCGTACGTACTTATAATGTCTTCATATTCGAATTGAAATGATTGGGCTACGGATCCCGTCATCAGTCATTACATTATAGTTATTCTGCGTAATATGTGAGAAACACAAGAGAGAGTAAAGGGGGGAAAGGGGTAAGGAAGATGTAGGTACCTTAGGGTACCTATATCTTCACATATCGACCCTAAATATAACATTACCTACTCTCGAGCCAGATATCTGTTGTCATGAAACACTTGACAATTTGAAATATTGTGAGCATCAGTTTCTTTCCATGACTGGGACTCAAGTATATTACATAGTTTCATAACCTATTTCTAACATCATAATCTTAAAAACAAAGAGTTGATCAACAAATGCTGTAGGTAGCATAAGCTATGTAAATTCCGATATCTTGCAGCCATTTTCATTATAAGACTTTGCCATGGAGCACAATCTAGTAATGGCTCGATGGAATACAGAAGTAGATAGAGAAGTCACCCTACTCTAAACTATCATATCACAAGACCATGAACAAACTCGTTCTAAATCTGACTTCTATGTTGCACGGGATAGAAGGTACACCTTCAGCTTTTGGACGGATTATTATAGATTTTGTATTCAACTTTGGCGATAAATACACTCTCCCATCTATCTCATTCGCCACTAATGCATAACCAATACACCACACCGATCACGACAAAACCTCAACCCCCCAGAGACTTATGGCGAGAAGTTCGATATGCCAACTAGCACCCTTGTCGAATCGTGATGTGTTGGAGTTCTCTAAGCGCTCATGCCTGGAAGGTCGGGTAGCCCTATAGCAACAATCCCGTCAGTGTAAGTAATTATAACAAAGATAAGAAGAGGTCTTACAGCCATCGATCTTGTCTTGAACAGTGGGCTTGACCTGGCAAGCGTTCATCTGGGCGGGCTGTTGCGACTTGAGGGGTCTGCCGTTCTCGCAGGCGTTGAACATGCAGCTCGAGTCCATCGCGCGCTGGAGAGCGTCGCCCTTCCAGCCGAACATGTAATCGGCGTGTGTGCCGTAACCCTTGTCTGTTGTCGATGTCAGGTATAATGATCATGCAATTTTCACTGAATAAGATCAAGACGGATGTTGTTGCAGCTCGGAGGGGGTTACTTACTGTCGCCGTAGCTTAGGGTGAAAGGCGAGGAGCCGTCTGTGGGCCAGGGCAAGTTGTTGAACTTGGCGGTGTCCCAGAGAGTCTCGTAGGTGACCTGGGGAACGCGGACTATGATTATAATGTTAGTCGTCTAGTTGTAAATCAAATTGGTAGTGCAATATGGTTTTTATGGCGGGGGAGAATCATGTGATGAACTGCAAGGCAGTTTATTGGATAGCCATACCAGGATGCGATGCTGGGCAAGCGCCGGAGTTGACGAAGGCGTCGTTCACAGTGTTGTACATGTGCGATTGGTGGTCTGGGCTGTCGATATTCTTACCATCCCAGCAGCTATGTCATTTAGTAAATAATCTCGCGATAAAGTTGTGGGAGGACTAACGCGGGGAAGTGATGGACAGTCATGATACCGCCAACACACTTTTGGGTAGGGAATGCGTCGAGCTCAGGGAATCGTGTACTCTTGTTTTGCAAGCACACGAACTTCAATCCTTTGCTGTATTTCGAGGTGGAGGTGACTGAACCTGCCGTCATTCGGAAACCCTGTAGTTGGTACCATTCAGAATCCATGTATTCCAGAAGAAAAGGTAACATGGCCCACCTTGGGGAAACCTGTGATCTTTTGGTTTCCGTTGGAGAAGAAATCTTGTTGTGTATAGTAGATTGTCATGCCACCATTGATACCGTAGGGCAAGGCATCGTTAGCCATAATAGGAACACGCTGGTACGATCCATTCTGGTGTTTGTACTGTAACCCTCAAAGTCAGTCACCACTACAAGTAATGCAAAACTTTCTTAACTCGAAGTGAACCTTATTTTGAGAGCATATCTGAACTCTTCAAATGAAATGAAAACCGCCTGGGAATACTTACGAACATCACCGCCGTCCAGTAGTTAGAGAAGTCTTCGCTGAATGTGCAAGTAGTGCAAGTAGCTCTCTCAGCAGGGTCACCATCCTCCGGCTCCATCGATGCATTGAAGGCATTGCCACCAACGATTTGATGAAGATGAGCTGAAGGGACATTGCCAGGCTCGACGACGGGATCAAGTCGCTGAATGCTCAAAGTCGACTAGTGCTCTCATTCGTTAGTGTTTTCAGATGTATGCAGGAGACAAGGGCTTCTAAGGAGTCATGCAGGATTCTCCTGCCTGAGCTTTGAAAATGACCCGATCATCGTTCGGTGAAGTGACTTGTATGGAATGTAGAGCACGGGAGACTTACACAGCCAAACCTCAGGGCTGCTTCGGAAAGCCCAGCTAGGGCAGCGGTGAACAGAAGGGACTTCATTGTGATAGACTACAATTTCAATTTTGACGACCCTGACCTGTAGATCGTAGAAGGTGGCTGTCAGGGGCAATCTTGACCATATGTAGGCTTTTCTACCCAGCTTCGCGTCGCGGGGCCGACATACATGCCGAAGAACAGTTCTCCTGGCTTATACTTCTAAGACCGATGCTCTTCGCCTTGTTGTCATATGTTTACTCTTTCAATTTAGGCGAATATAGAGATCCAGTCTGGATACCACACTTCCGCCACCTGTGTGATATGTCGACCGGGGTATTTAACCCGGAAGTAACGCAGCTAATACCTACCGGTCAACGGATTGTTTTCTGATTGGTAAATTCGTTAATCTATGTATATTGGTTCCAAGGTTGCCAATTGCCATTTACGTCGTCTCTAGTTAATATATGCTCAGGGGCCAAGATGACACATCAGGTCGGGGAGAAAAAGAGTGTTGTAATTTTAGAATGCAGTAAGGGAGAACTTTATTTGCGGCTCCGACCTAACCGAAAACCTCCCGTATTCCCGATGTCGTCACTGACGAACAGTTACTTTATGTAAAATACGCCCCCAGCTCATCGGCCGATAAGAGGCACGAGAGATTATGCTACGTTCAAGCGGATTATGACACTTGTAGTTGTGTCTAGATACTTGTCTTGTGTTTCATGCAATACTCAGCAGGGCTTGTCAGTTAGATGTTATTACGCCCGTGTCACTGTAGGCAAAGGCTCACGTTACGCGGTGTTTACGGGGTATCCTGATTCGAATCATGGACCAATTGCGGCCTCTTGAATTTCGTACTCAAATCTGCTACGGGAAAGGGGCTCAGCTCTAGAGTAGATATACTGACGTCACAAATATGTATAATCAGGAGTGTCAGGAAGAACGCGTCAGGTAACGTGGCTGGGAGGATGTTCCGACTACTGCCGATGAATCGAGATGATACCAAGAAAAGATGAGTTCTTGGTGCTGAAAAAGGCCGAAATTGCGCCTTCCATGTGGTGTTATATATATGAACGTGTATGAATCCAAGAGACGCGGGTATTGTGGCAAATGATATCGTGGGTATTAGATGCCCAAAGGGCTGACTCCTGTTCTGAGCACAGAAAGGAATAAATCATACTTCTGGTAGACCTTTATGAGAAAACAGTTTCTAGGTTGCTATTTATCCGGGGCTTGACCTCGGAGGTGGATAAATACATGCAGCAGAAACTTGTCGATCGCTGCGGCCGCACTCAACAACTGCGGACTCTGTGCGGACTCAATGATGTGGATACGATCATGGGCAGCTAGCTATTGACACTGCACTGATAATTAATATCAGGTAGTCGCCAGTCATGATCTTACTATCTGTTCAAGTTGATGAAGTAGATGGTGCGATGTATAAGGCTTCCTAGATCTGTCCGCTCCGGGTGACGAACAGAAGCCCGGCTTCAGCACACCTGCTCCTCGGCCATCACTTTTACGCGACACGTCTCCCTGTCAGATTATGAAGGCGATCGATTATTGTATTGCTCTAGGGATCTGACTTCTACACTATAAGCGCGAGTTTGATCACCCCTTCAAGATTTATAGCTAAGCCCTACTGGCATAACACACTCCTGAATACAACTAGCTTGCCTAATCTAACACATTGCACTCCTATTCTAACACTTCTCCCACCCATCTGCTTAGGTATATTTGGCCCCTGCGTTTAGCAATGCCCGTACAATGTCCATTGCGCCACGGCTAAATCTCTTTGCTACTACCAGCGGCGTCTCTTCATTCAAATCTGTGGCCTCGATGTTGGCACCAGCGTCTAGTAACAGCTGGACGATATTCACCCTACCAAAATGAGCTACGTAATGCAGCGGTGTATATCCCCTCGCATTTTTAACCTCTATGTTCGCACCAGCCTTGAGTAATAGCTGGACGATATCTGCCACATTCCAACCGATTGCAACGAGCAGCGCCGTTCTTCCCTCAAGATTTGTAGCCTCTATGTTAGCACCAGCTTTTAGTAACAGCTGGACATTTTCCTCTCGTCCACCGGCAACTGTGTGGTGAAGAGCCGTATTCCCTAAGTTGTCTTTCGCCTCAATATCAGCACCTGCCTCGAGCAGTTTTTGGATAACACCTTGACCTATATTGTTTGCACGGCAAGCCATCGAGAGTGCCGTGCGTCCACGACGATAATCTATGGCTTTGGTGCTGGAACCTGCATCAAGCAGCATTTTGACGATAGTTTCGTTTGCATCTTCCCTAGAAGACGCGATCATCAGCGGCGTATATCCACGGTAATCCTTAGCCTCGATATCAGCACCCCCCTCAAGACACAGCTTGACAATGGATGCCTTTGTTCCGTAGGTAAAGGTAAGGAGGAGCGGCGATATTGCGTCTCCATTCACAGTCCGAACATCGGCGCCGGCTTCACAAAGTGCTCGAAAAATGTCCTCATTCCCTTGCTTAACGGCAAGATGTAGCAATGTATTTTTATCTTCAGCTCGAGCGTCCGGATTGGCGCCAGCTTGAAGTAAAGCTCGAATAGGGACAAGCCTTCCTGTGCGGACTGCTGTGATCAATAGGTCATTCATGACTTCTCTATCCATTCCCGCTGACAGCGTTCGAGTCACGTCGTTTTGTCCCTCACATGCCGCACGCCACATTGGTAAGTCGCCGAACTTGTCCTTGAGCATCTGGCTAGTTCCTATCTGCAGAAGCAGCCTGACTGTTTCAAGACGCTTGCTCCTCGCCGCACAATGAAGTAAAAGGTCACCATCTCCATCCATCTCCTCATCAACATCTAGATCGTTGTCCCAAGTCAGCCTGGCTATCTTGGTGCATCCATCCAATGCCGCCAGATAAAGTTGACCGCATATTCCCGAAGTAATTATACCCCTAAATTTCCTTGCATTTGTCTTAAGCCAGTTGATTACTGCCTCAAAACTTTTCACATCCTCGAGGCCCCAGTCAAATTTATTGGCAGTACTGATAGTGGCGCCGTATTCGCAGATCAGACTTTGAACAACACCAATATGTCCATTGATTGCTGCAAGAGTTAATGGCAAGAAGCCATTTTCATCCACTTGGTTGATTTCGGCACCCGCATTGATAAGTTTCGCAATCGCAGTAGCATGCCCGCTCATGGCCGCAAAATGTAACGGCGACCAACCGACTTTATCATCCCTCGCATTGACATTCGCTTCGCCATTCAACAAGAGTTCAATCACCGAGTCTTGACCGGTCTCAGCCGCATAGTGCAAAGGTGTCCAGCCAATTTTATTGTCTTTCGCATTAACAGGAGCGTTCTGTATAATAAGTATACGGACCACATCAGAGTGCCCACTAGCTGCTGCGCAATGTAAAGGTGTTAATCCATTCGGTCCCGGTGTGTCAACGGGTACCAGTGTTTGTTCACAGAGATGTTTTACTATTTCTCCAAACCCCATGCCAGCCGCAATGTGCAGGGCCGTGATTCCTTTTCTGTCGGCAGTACTTGCATCGCTTCCTCTAGCGAGCAGCAGCGTCACCGTTTCCAAGGAGCCTCCCCAGGCTGCACGATGGAGTGGGGTTTGTCCGTCATCCAAGCCACCGGAATGAATGAGTGAGTTGGGACTGTCTTCTCTGTCGGCAAGTAATAACTCGTCAATAAAGTCCCTGTGTCCACGCTCAGCCGCTAGATGTATCGCTTTTCTTCCTAGCTTGTCTCGTTCTGGCATCGAGATTCGTTGGTCTTCAAGTAGCTTGTATCCTAACCATGCAGCACGGTGGATATCCAACTCCTGTTGGTCAGTCCCAGAGTCAACCTTCTGTGATAACAACCCATCGTCTACTCTCTGCTGGTCCTCAGATTGGGGGTAGTTTTCTTTGATGATGTGCCATGCATTATCATGCTCCATCAATTCTTCCCAGCCCCATGTGTCGCCAATTGTTATCTGTTCCACAGTAGCCTTGATGTTGCCCACCGAGGAAGAGAAGTATAAAGAACCCACAAACTGGCACTTGTACAGAGGTTTTTTGTCTGAAAAAGGGTTCTTCAAAACTTTCACAAGAATACCCTTCTTTGTCTCTTCCAAATCATGCTGCCCTTCGGATGGCTTGACTAATAAGATATGATGATGACTCTCCCTTTCCAGCGCATATTGAAGCTTCTGTTCTATCAGAGCATGCGATTTGCCCCAAATACATAGGCTTGAACCGAACATATCGGCAGATGTGAGTTTCCAGAACCCAGACACCTCTCCAGCTTCATTGATCTTCAACTCTGATGGCGTAGACGCGTGAGGTAACTGGAAAAGGTTTGTTGCACACCAGCTGAAACCTTTCGGCATTGTGATAGAGTTGTGAAACAAATGATGGTGGGAGACTCGCCCTATTTTCTTCAGGATACCCTGGTATATATCCCTTTGAAAGTTGTCTTTCCCAGCATACGAGATCTGGGTGCCGACAATTAGACCAGCAATGGTAGCTCGATCTTTGAGCCAAGAAGTGTATCTAGAGCCTAGGGTCTTGAGGAGACAATCCAGATCGGTGAGTCGGTCACGTCTAAGACGCTTGATGGCTTGGGCAGCAAAATTTGTGTCTTTCGTTTTATCAAGGATGTGCCTGTCGAGATCCTGGATCGAGTCTTTGAAAATCACTCTGACTCTTCGAGACTTGGCCAATTCTAAGGCGGTCCAGCCCCGAGTAAACCAAGAAGACAAAACAATGGCAATACATGCACTATCTGGGTCTCCAAATGGCACCTTTCGGAGAAAGCGATCGTGGACCAACGTAACTCGCGCGAATTCGTAGTTACTGTGCATGGTATTGAGTGCTTTGTTACGCGCATCTCCGTCGTTAGGGACACACAATGTATCCCACCAAATACCCTCGCACTGGAATCTCTGTGCAAGCCGCTTAAAATATTGATAGGCGCACTCATTTACTTGCTTTGAAGGCCAAACCCCTGCGCCCGTTCCATCCGACCATACGTGTGAAATTGCCATAAAGGGGCGAGGGTGTTCAAGAAGAGTCGACCCGTCAAAGCTCCAGGCAGTGGGCTTGCCAGCCTTAATCGCCTGAATCAGCTCATGGTCGTGGAAAAGGTTCTTGATTGGCGAGCAGACTTCTTTCCTGCTGTGATTTTCATCCACTTGGTCACTATCTTCCCACGCTCTCGGCTCATGATACTGCTTTACAGCCGTAAAGTTGCGACTCGAGAAATCGCAGAAGTCTATACTACATGCGGAGTGATCCTCATGTTGTAGAGCATTCTTTGGAATTGTTGCGAGTATCTTATGTAATGCCGAATGCCGAGATGGCCAGTCCTTGATCTGAGAGCAGGCCTGCCAAACACGGTTGGGGCAAAGATTATGATTTCGAACTCCCTCCAACGACTCATAGAACTCAGTCGGATCAAAGGATGACATATCGAATGACGGAAGCCGATTTTGAGATTTGGAAGATTGCTAGAAAATTTAGCCCAAAGTCTGTGAATGAGCCGATCACAGTTAGTCGGTCAATTCAAGGCCATAACCATACCTCGATAGAAACGTTAATTGATTTTGGAAGCCCCGAAGCCTCGCCACCTACATAAGTATACTCCATGTGCTAGGTGTAATTTGGCCCCCTCTGAACGTAGATATGGCCCTACACTCAAACACTAACACGTGGTAATTTAGGCCTCTGTATGCCAACCTTTAGTGTAACCTGATATCTGCCCAATCGGCGCCTGGGGGCAACGTTGGAGCCTAGGGAGTTCGGATGTGAGGAGGCAATAGGTAGAAGTAGGCGGCAAAGTTACAACGTCGGGTGTTAAAGCCCCTAAAAATTCGCTTGTGTTTGGATTTAGCCCATGAATCTGCCTACAAAGTGCCGGCGCTTTTAACGCACCGCATAAGCATTTGATTCCCCAATAGGCTCGCTTATATCTGATTGATCATGCTCAACTATAAATATTAATCTTTTAAATGCTCACAGTTCTACGGATGCAGCGTACAATCTTTGATAATATACTCTATCCGATGGTCTCCCCCCTTTGCTCATTACTCACACCTCAACCTTCAGCCAGACACTACTGGGTATAATATTCCTTTTCATTTATGGACGCGTTTCCTCCTGGTATCTTAGATAATAGCTGCGCTCTCATCTCCTGATTCTTCCTCATCTGTTCATTTTCTTCCGTGAGTACCCGGTGCCACTCCTTAGGCAACCCCTGGCAAGAGGTTAGCAATGATGCATATGTCAGAGCATAAGAATGATGTTAACGGACCGTGAATTGGTTGCTATCCGAGTCATATCCGACATGATAAATATGCACCGGGTTTTCCGGTGCGTATATCGAAGGTCTTCGTCGAGGGGCAGCGAAACGACCCAGCAAACCAGTTCGTTTCCAGGGTGCCGACCGTGGCCACGCTAGGGACGGCGATGATTCTGCCAGAATATCTTTGTAGGAGGTAATAATCTCATTTCCAGGGCTGGCTGGTCTTTTCTGTGGTGTAGCCGGAGTCGCGCGTGGATTGGTAAAAGTCGCTCCCTCTTCGCCGAATACATATAGCTCACTGTTGTGTAGATCGCTAGCGCACACGGGCAGTGCGTAGAACGAGATGCTAGACACTTGAGATAGGCTAAGTTTGGAAAACACCGAGAGCGCGGTGGTATATAGAGCAGTGCTTGTTATGGAGGCCTGTGAGAATCGGTAGACCGCCTTATTGTAGGCGCGGGACGACTCCAGGTCGTCCTCGAACGCGAACCTTCTCACGAGGGTGTTTTCCGTTTCCAACACACTCGCTCTCTCCGTATTGGGTTGTCGAATTGTAGAAGCGCCGTCGTCCACTGGAACGATATCCGATCGAGCTTTACTAAGGATTGAGCCTTCACGCTCTAAACCACGTATTCGCTCCGAGAGGTCTTGATTGCTCACGAGCATTTGTTCGACGAGCGTGCACAGTTTCTGTGTACAGCTTTGCGCTTCCTCCATGGTATGGCTGGACATCAATTTTAATTGGGCTAAGCGTTCTCACAAGAGAGATGTCTTGGGGGCATACCATTGTACGATAGTTAACATTAATGTAAGTGACGACTTATGGCTTTGCAGTCTCTGGACAAGAGTGTTGAGCCTACTTTCTTCTCTCATCCATCTAATGCGGTCGAAAGTCCTCATGTCCTCATTGATGTTAAGCCCCGTCAGAATGAACTGGATGTCGGAATAAGTCGTAACACATCCAGTCAACGTCGTGAGCAATTGATCGAGCATGATAAGGTTTCCCCTTTCGGAATTGGCCTTTAAACGATTGCTGAGATAGTCTTGAAGCTGGCCGAGCGCGGCTGATATATCTGCCACCTCGAAGAGTATGCCTCGAGCAAGAGCTGGAGAATCCTGGCATTTTGAGATGACTGTAAAGAGCAGGGACGTCACTTTTCCACCTGCGGCAAGCAGACCGACAATGGATGCTGCAACTGAAAGAGGATCCATTGAAGTGGTGAACTAGGGATAAGCAATGAATTGAAATGGTTCGCGCAGGAAGAAATATCAGAAGCTTGAAGTAAGAGATAAGAAGGGGGGTCTTCAGCTGAACTACTGTATGTAAGCAGGCTAAGGTGGCGGAGCAGCTGATGTCGCAGCGCAGTATGCATCAACGAATGTCAGATACTACATACTTAGGAAACAGTGACTGGTCGACCTGTAAACCAAAAATGATCTACTACGGGAGAGTTTCCAAGCGCTATTCCGGCGATAAAGTATGCTTTAGGGTGTATATTAGACTCATCTAGGTTTCTTGGCCAATTGATGCCATCAACGTGGTTCGTTCAAATCTTGTGAGTAGCATTGATCTCATCGTAGGGCTATCAGCTGAAACACTTAGGATGATAGGCTCTCAGCTGAGTTGTGAGTGGGAACACCTGTTGAATCACCATATTTGCCTCGTTTTCTGTTATATGGATATTCCAAAGTAATATTTTGAGAGAGGAACAAAGAATGACCACTACTGGTACTATCTCTCATCGATTCTCTATAAACAGTTCTAGACATAGCAGATGCGGCGCAGCTCTAGCGTGGTCTCTTCGTGTGGAGGTGGCTTGGCTCTCCATCGATGGGCAATAGGATTGTTGATCTTCTCGGTGTTATAAGCGATGTCGATTTAGCCCCCACGTGGAGGACAGCCGAGAAAGGTCAAAGCTGGCTGTAGCTCTAGTTAAATAGTTATCTAGCCTACTCTACCCTGTTCGCCACGAACTTCAAGTAATAACAGACTTATCATACACGCGAAAATCATTGCTGACTTTGTAATGTTCTCTAGACCCTCGTCTAAGCCTTTGTTACTCAACTCATCAGGAAGTGAAGTGCAAGCCCGTAGTGATATCGCCAAATTTGCTATGCAGCCAGTCCAGCGGCGGACTAGTCTTCGGCTGCCATGGTCCTGAATTGCCGTACTTGGGAAGTCTCTTTTCCGCCTCATTGCTATAGCTCGACGTCAACTGCCAGAACCTTTGATAGCCATTAGTGCCAGAGGGAGGAACTCTAGGAACTGCTGTCATTATGTACTTGGAGTTCATGTACTTTAGGAGACGGGTGAGAACTAACGATAAGATGAGTCAGCGGAAATCCTCAATTCAAATGCCGCTTGAGATATGAAGGGGCATCAAATGATAGAGCGGGGGGGGGGGGGGGGGGGGGGGGGGGGGGGGGGGGGGGGGGGGGGGGGGGGGGCCGGGGGGGGGGGGGCGGGGGC